TGTGCGTTGTGTGTGTGTGTGTGTGTGTGTGTGTGTGTGTGTGTGTGTGTGTGTGTGGTGTGTGTGTGTGTGTGCATGCACAACAGATTGGCTCTACTTTATTGAAAAGTTTGCCCTTTCTTCCCCGCCCTGTAATCAACTATGCATGCATGCATGGGTCTATGCTAATTGCTTATCCATACTCTAATACCTCATTGTTTGATTTACCCACAGTTATAAGTCTTGGCACTATGGAGTAAACACTCCTCCTTTTTAATACTTTCTGTTAAGATTTCACTTCCAGCCATCCTGTAGGTATTGATTTACATGTGATTAGTAACTAATATGATTGGACATCTTAGATGTTGAGAAGTCTGTCTTGAGATCATCTTTAAAAAGTTTATCTAGTCAGATTTTAAAACCTATCTCAAAGTTGAGCTTTCGGGCTGGAGTTACAGCTCAGTGGTTGAGCACTGGCCTAGCATGCATGAATAGTTTAATAGGATACCATCTTATTGTTAAGTTTTTAAGATTCTTTTTGTAGGATGACTAAAAAAAGTTGCCTCTGAGACTGGGGATATTAAGTATTTTGTGCTGCCCTACAGCCTGATTTTTAGTTATCTTTTATTTTCTTTTTGGTTTTTCAAAACAGGATTTGTCTGTGTAGCCCTAACTATCCTAGATCTTGCTCTGTAGACCAGGTTGGCCTCGAACTCACAGAGATCCACCTTCTTCTGCCTCCCAAGTGCTGGGATTAAAGGCATGCACCACCACCGGCTGGCTTGGCTTAGTTATCATAACAGTATCTCCGCACACAGAACGTTTCTAGTGTTTTTTTTTTTCCCTCCCCCTGGCTTTGCATGGTGTTTAAGGTCACAAAAATTTCTCTGTTGTGGTCTAGAATTTCTTGAATTTTTATATATAGTGTGAGATATGGTTGAATCTCCCTGAGGGTCCTGCCCCCTTTGTCTATTGACAAGACAATTCTTTATTGAATTACTTTTTGGAACTTAAATAAATTCACCTGACTATATTTGGATGGATTGATTTCTCTTTCTTATTGATTTATATATCTGTTGCCATGACCTAAACATCAATTCGTGAATCCATCTTGTAGTTTGAGTACTGTAGCTTTCTAATAAGCTTTGAAAAGGGGCAATGTGAATGCTTTAACTTTTTCTAAGTTTTTTCCTAAAAGATTGATTTATTTATTATGTACATAGTGTTTTGCATGTATGTCTGTACCCCAGTAAAGGGCACCAGATCTCATTATAGATGGCAGTGAGCCACCATGTGGTTACTGGGGATTGAATTCAGGAACTCTGGAAGAGCAAGCAGTGCTCTTAATCTCTAAGCTATCTCTGCAGCTCCTTTTTCTAAGTTTTTACATCCACATCCCAATTTCTACTGTGTACATTTTGGAAATAGATTGTCCACATCTATGAAAACTATCCCCCAGGATCTTTTTTGAAGTTGCATCCAATCTGTGATAGATATGGGAAGAAAGACATCTTGACAATATTGAGTCTTCAAGACAGGCGCTATAGTCTATCTCCACTTATGTAGAGTTTCTGTATTATTTCTGCGGCATAGCCAATTACCTGTAAAGATAGACCCAGAAAATTACCAACGCATCAGCATCTGAAAACAACAGGATGCCATCGTTCGAGGTCTCACTGTGAAATTGAACTTTAACGTATTTCACATTGTGGACTGGGGACTGGGGAGATAGCTCAGTTAGTAGATGTTTGAAGTGCAGGCATCAGGCTCTGGATTTTAAGTTCCCAACACTAAACTTGCTGGCCAGCTAGTTTAGTTTACTTGGCAATCCCCAAGGAGTTTCTCAGTCTCAAAAAGAACTAAGGTGGGTGGCTCTTAAGGAATGACACCTGAGGTTGACCTCAGGCCTCCACACACATATGCACACATATGCTCACTAACCACCCCCAACATAGTCAGCCATGTACACTCACACATCACACACAGATTTTCAAATTGCAGTTGTCTGTTGCTGACATGTAACCATGAAATTGATTTACACATATTGATCTTGCATCTCAATGTCTTGCTAAATTCACTTATTCTGTGTACCCATTGTTCTGAACTTTGTCTTTTTTATGTTTTATTTTTTTAAAGATTTTATTTATTTATTGTGTATACAACATTCTGCTTCCATGTATATCTGCACATCAGAAGAGGGCACCAGATCTCATAAGGGATGGTTGTGAGCCACCATGTGGTTGCTGGGAATTGAACTCAGGACCTCTGGAAGAGCAATCAGTGCTCTTAACCTCTGAGCCATCTCTCCAGCCCCTAACTTTGTCTTTTTATCACTTAAAACATCTCACAAATTAAGCCACAATTAACCACAGAGTTCTAAGCCACTAGAATTTATTGCTGTTTAGAATTTAGGGTTTGTCAGTCTGAAATCTATCTGTAGCTTCGGTTTTTATGTTCTATCATTCATGTATATATGTATGTATCTAATATTCAATATTGAATTAATGCAAAGTTTAATGTTTACAAGTAGTGTTCAACTGGTCATTGCTTCTCACTTTTAGGCTTTAAAGAAATGGATTGAAGAAAATCCTGCACTGAGCTTTCTAAAGCCTGGCATATTGACTGGACGTGGCAAAACAAATCAGGCAACAGGTATTTATGTATAGTAAACAGATTTAGTATAGTATTATATAAATAAAGTGTATACCATGTTTCATTATTTTGTGCTTTTATCAGTCAGACTTCAACTAGAGAGATAAAGCTACTAGAGGATTACACATGAGTATATGGTATGAATGTGAATTTATATCTCTAGAGATTTCCTGAAAATGAACACATAATTAGGCTAGCAATGCAAACCTGAAACCTGCAGGGCAGTTAGTCAGGAGGTGGAGACCAAGAACAGCTTGGAACCCCCGGTACATGAATTGTTTAAGTCTCTGAGGTCAGGGAAGGCCTATGCCCTCCTTCAAAAGGTTGTGAGAATAGGTCAGGCCCACTTAGATGAACTCACTTCTCATTTAACTCAACATCAACTGATTAGGGATCTTAACCATGTCTGCAGGCTTCCTCTACAGCAGCAGCTATGTGAATGGCTGCAACCATAGCTCTGCCTGACCCAGTCAGTGCCTCAGAAGGCCAGCACACTTCCCAAATGCCAAAAGCCACACTAGTTTAATTCCATTCGGGAAATTGCCTCCTCTTGTGTCCTGTAGACAAAACTTTTTCAGCATTCTTTAAGCTGATCCCTCTCTTCAAATTCTGGAAATAAAAACATTCTGCATCTATTTATCATTATTCTTTACACAGTAGATTTTTATCTACTGACTGCATATTTTACAATCTAAAAACAGTCTGGGCAATCTTGAACTCTAGTGTGGTCACAGGGTGGGAAGAATCTTGTGTTGATAGTCCTCCCAACTAGCCCAACTCCCAGACTATCTCATTGTGTATAACATGCCCTCACCCGGTTTTTCCTGCAGTGTTGTTTAGACTAAACATATCTCCACCCCTGCTCACTGTTCTGGTACTTTTCCTACATGGGATTTGCAGGTCTCATAAACATAGAGTGGATTCAAGTTTTGAAAGTATGGTTTCAAGTCTAATGCTACCCTCCTGTGACTGGATTTCAAAGTTCTTTGCCATCTCTCCAACATGAATCCAACTTGATTTTCAAATTTGTTATTGACATACAAATAGACACTTGGATAATATTTTCTTATCTATTCATCCATGCATGTGTGGGTTCTCCCTCCTTCCCTCCCTCCCTCCCTCCTCCCTCCCTCCCTCTGATGCATCCATCCATCTTTCCATCACGTATTTAGACTTACTCAGTGTCCTGCTTCTACCAAGTAGCCACCCTCATCCTGTAATCCTGAGCCGACCTCTCTGTACATTCTCATCTTTCAGTTCTTATGCACTTCTTTTGCCATGGCTTCCTGTTTATCATTCTTATAGATAAAAATGTAATCTTTAGCCATCAAATTCCCATATGACAAACCATAGTCCATAATTGCTGCCTGAGTGTTAGATGAATGAATAAGTGGGCTAAGATGATGTTGACTATTTTTGTTTTCTGGACGGTTCCTTCTTGTTTCATAGCTAACCAAGAAAAAAAATGTGAACTTTTATAAAAAGCTACAGGTTTTTTGCTATCTGAACATTTTCAAATTCCCTTATTTGTAGCATTTTTATTTCACAGGCTGTGAAACATGTTATAATGTCTGTGCCTTACTTTCTTTCTGTCAAATGGAAAAATAGTAATTGTACCCAACTCATAGGGTTAATGTGAACAATGAAATCTGAGTTAGGTGAAATCTGATGTACTGTGTGCTTTTTTTGTTTTGCATGGTAAAAATAACTTTTCCACTTTTAAATGGTTCCGAATTAGTAGCTGGTTTTCCAAGAGCATAACTCTTTCATGAGTGAGTTGTCCAGTGACCTCTTTATCCAACACAGGAATGACACTCCCAGCACAGAAGTACGCGCTGGAAGCATTCAGAGCCAGTGGTGATAACAACATTCTGATTGCTACTTCGGTCGCTGATGAAGGCATTGACATTGCTCAGTGCAACCTGGTCATCCTGTATGAGTATGTGGGCAATGTCATCAAAATGATTCAAACCAGAGGTGAGAGCAGCTGACTCCATTGCTACCTAGCTCCCATTTTGTCTGTCTTGTGGGTGTTGGCCCTTTGTCTTTTCTTCATTACTGAGCTGTATTATGTGACTGATGGCACACTTGGTACTATTTATTAGTCTAAAAGTTGATGTCCCTGGTCAGGATTGAGTGGTTGTGATTTTACCCATCATACTCTGTTGTGACTCTTCACAATGGTACTGCTTAGTGCTCAGGATTCACTGACACATTTATAAAAGTATAATATCCACTAGGCCTGAGGCTTTGCCAGTCATCGAGTAGACCTTTCATGGATGTGATGAGTAGCTCCTGTACTCCAGGTTCCTTACATCTCACACAAGCTAGAGTCTTCCCTCTTTCCCTGTTTTCCCAAGAACAGCCCCACTTTGCCCTTCCTGAATAACATCTCGCTGTCACTCATTCCCATCTACGTTTCATTCTTCTCCGTTTACTGCTTGTAAACACCAACTGCGGCTTTGTATTTTATGTCCTTTTCTGATAACCCAATTCTCTCTCATTCAAATGCCAATGCCCCTTTATATCTGTCTCTGCAAGAGCACTGACACCTTCTCACCTGTGTTACAGGGTTATAAACCTCTCTCCACATTGCAAGGGGGTTCAGGTGGGAGTTGCTCATGGAGCCAATACTGGGGACTCATGCTGGACTGTCTTTAAATCAGTATTTCCGATAATATGGCTGTAGAATCACACTGCATCCCTGGAGACCCTAAGAAAACTAGCTTCAGGTGGATCCCGGTTTATCTGTATGTTTGCCATGCAAGCTGGAACATGCATTTGAGTCCACTCTTCAATTAAGCTTCCCTAGAATGTAGGATGCAATGAAGCCACGTCGAATTCTAGGAATTTTTTGTATCTATTTTCACATAACATCATAGTTTTACATCAAAAGTACAAATAAAATGTTTTCTGGCAGGCAGAGGAAGAGCAAGAGATAGCAAGTGCTTCCTCCTGACTAGCAATGCTGATGTAATTGAAAAAGAAAAGGCGAACATGTTCAAGGAAAAAATAATGAATGAATCCATTTCAAGACTTCAGGCATGGGATAAAATAAAATTTGAAGAAAAGGTAAGTCTTTTTATTTATTTATTTATTTTGTGCTCCTCTTTTGGAATCTGACTAGAAATAACAAGTGAACATGGTTGGTGCTGAGTGTGTGTTAGTGTATGTGTGTAGTTTGTGAGTGTGCACGCCTGTGTGTGTGTGTGTGTGTGTGTGTGTGTGTGTGTGTGTGTGGTTTTTTAAAGAAGGTCCCAAGTAGTTCAGGCTAGCTTTGAACTTAAACTTGCTATGGAGCTGAGGGTGATCTTGAACTTCACATCCTCCTGTCTCTACCTCTAAATTGTTGGAATGAACGATAAAACCGAGTGATGGGATTCATGAGACATGAAACGGAGGACATGTGGAGGAAGGAAGGAGGCCAGCCAGAGGTGAGGGGAACTCAGTGTGGGGAGGGGAGAGGGCGATAATAACTGAACGGCATAGCATATCTGTGTAAAAATGCCATAAAAGAAAAACAAGAAAAGATATTGTAGAGCGAGAACCCCTTTTGCCCTTTTGTGGTATTTAATGAGGGCTCTGGGGCTGGATTTGAAAACTGGCTTGAGTCACAGTTTGCTAGGAAGTTGCATGTTGTATGGTCTGCCATCATTAGAGCACGATGCCCTGAGGAATTCTCTGGTTACCGTGTGGCAGCTTAACATGTTCATTCCAGGGGAAACCAAGAACTTATGTCCATGACGGAAGCTTCAGCCCATGATGGTAATTCAGGTGATTCATGATGGTGAAGATTACTGGGCCATTCTGGTTATAACTTCCATAAGGTGTAATCTGAAATCTAAATGAAGAAGCCTATGTTCCCTTCCTAATGGGGCCAAGATAGGACATGAATGTTTCTTCTGAATGAAGGACTTTCAGCATGATGTCCTGGGCTTTCAGGGCATCACATTGCTTTCCTCACCTGTGGGGATTGGGGTAGGAGTAGAGATGTTTCATGTTAACCATACCAGGTGAGAATAAGACCACTACTACAAGTTTTGAGCAAAATTTGAAGCAAGCTTTATTAAATTCTGGCCAGGACGATGGACACTGGCCAGTTCCATACCCAGGATTTCCAGAGAATGGCTGCATTAGAAGCTTATATAGGCAAAGCCCACAAGACTACATCCTTCCTGCCTTCATCCAGTCAGGGATAAGCATACATCCTGATATACTTACTACCTACATACCTCCCTATGTGTGATCAAGCAATCAAGCTTGTTTCGGGAAGTAAAAACACATGGCTGATTATCTAAGATAAACAGCCCCCAGCATTTCAGGAGATTATCTGTCCTTGGGCAAGGGGAGTTTACCAGTTAGAGGCATTTCTGTTTCATAGGTATCTTAAGCACAGTAATTTAAACTTAAAATACAACTTTAGCCATCACACTCAGTGTGGATAAGGGTGATTGCCACCAATCTTGATAATCCGAGTTTAATTCCTGGAACCTACAAAACAGAAGGAAGAAACCGACTTGGCCTGTGTGTGGAGTTGTTTCTCTTCAGCCACCGGTGTGGAGTTGGGTGGGGCAGTGTCTTGGTGGCATCTTCACCAGTTGCTGCTGTTTGCCTTAAAGTTTTAACTATAGTGGTAACAGCTTTTTTTTAAAATTTTTTATGTTTTATTTTTTTGTTTTTCAAGACAGGATTTCTCTGTGGCTTTGGAGGCTGTCCTGGAACTAGCTCTTGTAGACCATGCTGGTCTCAAACTCACAGAGATCTACCTGCCTCTACCTCCTGAGTGCTCAGATTAAAGGTGAGCACTACCACTGCCCTGCTTAGTGGTAACAGCTTTAATTCATTAGAATTTAGAGCAGTTATCAACAGTACATTTAAGATGCTTGAGATGGCTAGTATTTCATTTGAAAGAGCCATTACATATAAGTGAATGAAAGACAATTGGATATCTAAGGGAAAGTTTATATATTTATTCTTTCCTGCCACATTCCCCTAGTCTCCAGCCTAACAGATAGTGAGTAGATCTGAAGCTCTTAATCTTTTATGTTATTTTTTATATGCATGAGTGTTTTGCCTACATGCATGTCTGTGACCCGTATTCTTAACCGTACTCTGACAGGCAAGAAGAGTGTGTCAGATCCCCTGAAAATAGAGCTTCGGATGTAGATGCTGGGAACCAAACCTGGGAAGAACATCTATCGCTCTTAACCACTGAGCTTTCTCTCCATTCACCTTGATCTGTTTGTTATCTTAAAAAAGGAAGTTAAAATCTGGGCATGGTGATGAATGCCTTTAATCTCAGCACATGGGAGGCAGAGGCAGGTGGATCTCTGTGAGTTCAAGGCCATCCTGGTCTACAGGATGGGAATTCCTGGACAGCTAGGGCTGTTACACAGAGAAACCATTTCAAAAAACCAAAAGCAAACCAAACCAAACCAAACCAAACCAATTACTCATAAAGGAATGTGTAAAAATCATGTAAACCTAAAATTTCTTTTAGAAATTTATCCAAAGCTAATTATAAAGAGTAAGTACATGTCATAAATGGTTTCACGGTAGTGAAAACTTGTGTTTTTGAAAATAGGAACATAACCCTATATAGTAATTTGAATGTAATTGGCCCCCATAAGTTCATAGAAAATGACACTATTAGGAGATGTGGCTTTGTTGAAGTAGGTATGGCCTTGGTGGAGGAAGTGAGTCACTGTGGGGGTGGGCTTTGAAGTTTCCTATGCTCAAGATACTGCCCAGTGTCTCACGGGACTTCCTGTTGCCTGCAAGATGTTGGTTTCTCAGCTACTTCTCCAGCACCATGCCTGTCTGGGTGCTGCTATGCTCCCCATCATGATGACAATGAACTGAACCTCTGAAATTGTAAGCGAGCCACCCAATTAAATGTTTTTGTTGTGCCGAGTCACAAGGATCCCCAAAGAGATCAGGGAGACAGACCACTGATGCAAATGCAAGCTGATGCAGCAGCCTCCAGAGGGGGTGAAGTTCCCTGTCTATTGCTAGGTTTTAAAGACAAAAGTTACAGGATTACATCAGTAGGTACGGGTTGGTTTCTGATTGGTTGACATTTGGGGAACAATCAACAAGTTTCTCAAAGTCATATTTTGGCATGAAATACCTGTGTACCAGGTATTCTCATTGGTCAGTGCTGAGAGGGGGAACATTCTGTGGTTTCCATGGCTTTGTCTTGTTATTTGCATGTGGCCTGTTTTACATAGATACCAGTAGTTTTCAGAACTGTATCCTGGAGACTACAGGGGAGGTTTTGGTCTCCTTTGGAGTTTCTTTTGTGGCCAAACAGTTCCCAAGAACCAAGTGAAGGAACCAGCTTCCCTTTCGGCAGCCATGACGGTCGAACATGTGCTTCTATGACCTTGTTCTAGACACTAGAAAGTCAGATGCCTGTCTTGTAACAAGGAACCAATCAGAAGTTAGTGGGTGGCGCTATGCTTTACGACCCTGGGTCTGCTTTACGGACAAGTGCACAGCAATGACCACAGAGCATAGCAACCCCCCTGGGAGGGCCTATGGGCCATAACAACCAGTTGACCAATCAACACAGGGCAAACCCTCCAAGCCTGGAGGCACATCAATCTTGAGCCTGTGCATACCCCTAGACACTCCCCTTACACTGCCCTATAAGATCTTTCGGGAGTCCCTAGGAGCCGTCTTTTGAGAGCCATCCGCCATGGCGGGTGGGTGAAAGACCCGAGCTAACATGGGGTTAGCTCGTTAAATTACAATAAAGCCTCATGCAGTTTGCAGCAAGCTCTCGAATCCGCCTGGTGATTGGGGTGACCGCGAACGTGGCCTGGGATCCCGGATACCTGAGTTTTCGGGGGTCTAACACAAGTACCTTAGAGGTTGGGGTCGGGGTGAGGGGCTAGAGTTTCTCTGTGTTCAGTTTTGGCCCTAGACTCCAGGAGGCAAGAGGATCTGGAGTTTCCTTGTGTCAGAGGCCTACATGTCTTTTCTGTAGCCTGTTATGGCTGCTAAAGCAGGGCCTGAGTGAGGGTCTGGTCCCTTTATTTCTAAATTATTAGAAGTGAAGCCTTTGAGTTTAGTTTTCCCCTTTCAGTTTTAATTTATAAGACTTGCCATGGTCTCTTCACAACAATAAAAACCCTAACAAAGACACCCCACTTTTCTTATTTATTTATTTATTTATTTTTAAGATAGATGCATTACTTACCCCAGGTGGCTTTAAACACTCTATGTTTAAAGCGAGGGTGACCTTGAACTTTTGACCTTCCCACTTTCAGATCCAGATGCTTTGTGCCACCACACCCAGTTCCACTCTCCTCTCTATTTTATTTACAAAACCAAGAAAATCTACGAGGATGGGCATGGTAGGAAATGCCTTTAATCCCAGAACTGCAGAGGCAGGCAGATCTCTGAGTTTAAGGCCAGCCTGGTCTACATAGCAAGCTCCAGATCAGCCAGGGCTACACAGTGAGAAAATAAGAAAACTAAAAAAATCTTTGGTGTGATAGATAGCATGAAGGCTGCAGGCTGGGAATATCATACATTGATTATTTTTTAGCTTATTATTCATTGTAGGTGTGACAGTGGTAAATTCTTAGTTTTCTTTCTTCTGAGAATACCTTGATTTTCCCCTTCATTTTTGGGTTGTGGACTTTGATGGGCAAGAGTGATGATTCTTTTAGCATTTGAGAAATAATTATGCCACTTCTTTGGGCTTGTGTAGCTTCTGAAGACTGCCACTGTCAACCAGACTATTTCTCATGTGTAGAAATAGTGTTCTTCTCCCCCCCCCACCGTGATGCTGATATTTCATGTTTCCAGAAGTTGGGCCCCTGCCCCCATGGGGTCTCTGTGAGTTGCTTGTCAGCCAATAATCACAGATGCATCCTTTTTTCTAGTCCTGAATTACAGCCGCGGCCATAACGCCACAGGCATAAAAAACACGAGCTCTTAACACCTGGGGTTTTTCCACTGTGCTGTAAGTCTGTATATAAGGCTGCTCCCTCCCTGCAAAAAAACACAGACACATACACATTCTCTTAGTGCAAGCGACCGGATGGCTTGGTTTTTAATTAAATCTCCAGGTTTTTGCCCAATACTCGGACTTAGTGATGGCTCGGATGCCACAAGTGGAGGTTCCATTAGACTTAGTCGTGGTGTAGGCACCACACACTTTATCCTGTTTGGGGCTTGTTGGGCTTTGTGAATCATGCTGCTCTTCACATTTCAGAATTGTTTCGCCATGATTTCTATGACTTTCCAAATCCTGCTTTGTTTCTGGACTCTAATGACATAGATGTTAGGTTTAAAGAAAAAAAATTCAGTAGCTGTATGTGTCCCAAAGAGTCTGTTTTTGTTTGTGTTTTTTTTTTCTTTAGTCTATTTTCTTTGTGTTGATTGGGGTAATTTCATTTGCTCTAATATATATATTAGAAGCATCCATATGATAGGTCAATTTGTGGAGGTTTTCTAAAGTTTTGCAAACTGCTAAAGTAGAAAACACAGCTCATGACTATTTGACAGGCATGTTTGTGGAAGGAACTGAAAGATTAATGGAGGATGCATTTAAACACTGACTACTAAAGAGGTAAAAGGACCAAATGAGCCCTGCCTCATGATGGGGCAGACTTAGACTTCCTATGGGAAATAAATAAATAAATAAATAAATAAATAAATAAATAAATAAATAAATAAATAAATAAATAAATAAATAAATAAATAAATAAATAAATAAATAAATAAATAAATAAATAAATAAATAAACAAACAGATAAATAAATAAATAAATAAAAAGAAAGAAGAACAAACAAACAAACAAAAAAGGACCAAAGGAATTAAGATTGACTTTTACAAACAAAACAATACAAATAGACACTGTATGCTCATGGAACTTATATCTGAGTGTGTGTGTGTTGTGTGTGTGTGTGTGTGTGTGTGTGTGTTTGCGTGCACGCACGCGGTTATGCAGGTGTGTGCATGTTGTGGCCATGTGCATTTATTTATCCTTGTGTGCTAGTTATGGTCGTTCAAGAGACTTTTCTTTTGGCATGTAGGTTCACCACATACAGATGCAAGAAAAATTAATCAGAGATAGTCAACACAAACCACAGCCTGTACCTGATAAAGAAAATAAGAAACTGCTGTGTGGGAAGTGCAAGGCCTTTGCGTGCTACACAGCTGACGTCCGGGTGGTTGAGGTGAGCAGCCCTGGCAGTCTGTAGTACCAGCTAAAACTTATCATCTCCTGGAGAAATGTTTGTAGTAAGGACACTATTACTTCTGTTGTGACTGTGGCCATGATCCTTGTATTAAGAAATACAATCCTGCTTATATGTGGGAGCCAGAAAAACGGATGCCATGGAAGCACAAAATAGAATAGTGGTGCTAGAGGCCGGGGAGTAGAAGCAGATTCCATTACAGCTGCCCCAGTCAAGCAGGATGGGTAAGATTCAGGGCTCTATCTCACAGCAGGGTGAGTTCTGCTTACAGTTTCCAGTTCATTACAACTTCTACAAAGAATTAGACGAGGGAAACTCAAAGCTTCATAACATGAAGAGATGACAACTGTTCAGGCAGAAGGGAATGCTAATTACTCTGATGAGATCATTCCATGCTTAGATTAATTATCACACTGCACACCATATGCACAGAGAGTTGTGTGTCAATTTGATAAAAATAAGAAAGCTCTTTTGAAAGTCTCACGCTGTGGACCTCACTGGCCTTGAACTCACAGAGTTCTGCCTGCCTCTGCCTACCTCCAGGGAATACATTTATAATGAAAATGAAGGGAACAGCTCCCCATTTCGGCAGCTACGACAGTAACACGTGCTTGCCATAACCTTGCCTTGGTCACTTAGAGGTCAGACGCCTGCCTCGTGACAAGGAACCAATCAGAAGTTAGCTGGTGGCGCTATGCTTTACTACCCTGGGTGTACTTTACGGACAAGCGCACAGCAATGACCACAGAGCATAGCAACCACCCTGGGAGGGCCTATGGGCCATAACAACCAGTTGGCCAATCAACACAGGGCAAACCCTCCAAGCCTGGAGGCACACCAATCCTGAGCCTGTGCATACCCCTAGACACTCCCCTTACGCTGCCCTATAAAGATCTGTACGCAGCGGGTTCCAGCTGTCTTTGTGAGCCATCCGCTATGGCGGGTGGGTGAAAGACCCGAGCTAACATGGGGTTAGCTCGTTAAAAAACAATAAAGCCTCATGCAGTTTGCAGCAAGCTCTCGAATCCGCCTGGTGATTGGGGTGACCGAGGTCGTGGCCTGGGACCCCAGATACCTGAGTTTTCCGGGGGTCTAACAAAAATAAAACTCCTTATTTAAAAAATGTAACACAGCTGGGGGCAGTGGTGGCCTGGGCTACATAGAGAAACCCTGTCTTGAAAAGCAAGGAAAAAAAAAAAGAAAGAAAAAAGGTAACACTTGCAGGTTAGCCTTCTACTTTTTCCCCCTTAAAACTTTTTTTTTTTTTTGGAGATAGGGTCTCTATATAGCCCTGGCTGTCCTGAAACTCACTCTGTAGACCAGGCTTGCCTTGAACTCACAGAGATCTGCCTGC